CTTTCATATGGGGCAGATCTTGGAAGAGTCACCCAGCACAAGACAAATGAGCCTAAGATCAAGGAAGAAGCTACAGCCCACATCTCAAATGCTCAAGGTCCTCAAGTTTCCTGATCCTTTACTTTTCCCTAAGCTCCCCCCCATCTACCTCCACTTCTAACTCGTCAGAACAAAACAATGAGCTACAAGCAACTCTTGAGGCTGAGAAAGCCTCAGAGGTAGACCTTCCAGCACTGATGGTCACCTACACATCATACCAGCAAAAAGTCCTGCATGTCCCCATTGCTCCTCCTAGAAGCAGAACTGGCATACCAACTACCAAGGAAGGTACTCCAAATCCCATTCTCCTTGAATAAGGAGATCACCAGCAGCCAAGATAAGGTCTTACACTTTTCAGATGCTCTCTGAGAAGGACAGGTAGACAAGAGTCAGTCCTCTGACTCTCAAGAACAAGACCCCATGGCAGAGCTAAGAAGTGAGGTTCGTACCCTTCAGAATCAGTTGGAGGTTATGAGCGTCGCGTCAAAGCACTTAAAGGATTTCGTCATTGAGACTAATACCTATGATGAGCTCAAGAGCAATGAACCCCAAAGTGAATCCAAAGCTCTCCCAGATTTGAGTTTTTACAGGGAACAGGCTCAGCAAATCATGAGAACCATGAATTATGAGCCCCTGTCTAATCAAACACTAAGGGATGAGAAAGCGACTGCTCCCCCAATCTAGGTCATTGAAGCCACAACAAGCTCTCTTAAGAGAACGCAAGGAGTGGGCTATTCTTTTTTGTCTCACACTATGAAAGGGCAGAAGCAATGAAAAATAAGGGAAAAAGTAAAGACGTGCATCACACAGAAAGAAAAAAGAGCTATTTCATTCATAAATCAAGGGGGTATTACAAGCGTTCTTTTCTTTACAATAGAAGAAATGAAGACAAAAATAGAAAGAAGGCACTGTCAAAAGCGGTCAATAATCTCACTGACCATTCCCCTGCACTCTTTGGCCGATGCCTTTGCCTGTCAAATATCTCCCTCAATTCGGCCACCAGCCCGGCCTCATGCTCCACCAAGGACAACTTTTCTCCCAAGGAGTATTTGAGGTCAAACAGTTTCTGGTCCAGCTCCCTATCCTTAGCCTCCCATGCTGTCATCTCCTTCTCTAACTTTTCAAGTTCCTGCTCCCACTTGGCTATTGTTTCCTTCAGTGTCATTACCCTGATGTGGCATATTATGGCCTCCTTAATAAGGGCAGACCTATGAGAGACAGTGGCATCCCTCTCTTATAGTTGGGCCTCCGCCAGTTCAAGACTCGGTGGCAGTGACGAGTCCATGGACTCTATCAAGGAGCCCCATAACCGTGCTGCAGTCGCTTCCTCCTGTAAAGCTTTTACCCTCCATCCCTCCAACTCGATCACAATGCTATCAAAGTAGGGGATGGCGTCGGTTGCGCCCTGCAGTCTCTTCCTCCTGTAGAGCTTTTACCCTCCATCCCTCCAACTCGTTCACAATGCTATCAAAGTAGGGGATGGCGTCGGTTGCGCCTCCTAGGGCAGGCTGCTTTAGTTGCATGAGTGTGTTCCCTAGGTCGGCCAGGGGTAGCTCCTTCAACTTTTGAAAGCCAACCTGAAGCATCTTCATGATAATTCCAGCTACTAGAAGCAACAGCCCTTTCGCTCAAAACTCCCCCCATGGACTCTTCCGGCTCGACCCTCTCATGTTCAAATGTTGTAGATTCGCCCTCTGTACACATCGCAGCTTCAGCCAAGGCAAGGGTGACCTCCCCGCTTAGAGTTACCATTCCATGATGTACCAAGGTAGTCTTCTCTCTTGGGGCAGTGTCATCTTCCTGCTCCCTCTCTCCTTGAACCCCCAACTCTACCTTGGCAAGTGCATGTAAGGACCCAGACCTTTTCGGCGCGATCAGAGCGCACGTCAAGGGAGGAACTCTGTGCGTGAACTGGACTATCATCGGTAGTTAAGTGAAATGGACTAGCGCCAGCTGTGAAGTGAGGGGCATCACCATCTGTGGCGTCGCCTGCTATGTAGCATAGGCTGTGTATTGTCGGCTGTGAAGAGAGAGAAGTTAGCACTAGCTAGGTAACGTCGGCTATGTATCGCTGGTTGTGAAGTAAGAGAAGTGGGATGGACTACCGGGATAGTTGGTGTAGAGTAGTTTTCCCTCCTCCTTTTCTCTCCCCTTACCCATGGCTTTACTTGCCATGGCACATGCCACTTGGAGGTGGCTTGTTGCCACCTCACCCCTCACCTTCTTTTATCTTTTAGACCAGCCCTCTCCCTCTCTATCCTTTCCCTCACGTCTCACTCCTCCTCATCTCTCTCTCTAAGGAAATTTGGAGAGCTTGGAAGAAGCCCCTTTACCTCACTGTTAGAATAGCCATTGTAAGCATTAAAGAAGGCTGTGGAAGTAGGTTTTGGAGGCACAATACACCTAAAGTAAGTGGATTACTACCTTGTAGTTCCCTAAATGTAAGTTAATCATGAACTCGCATGCAAATGGAGAGGAATATTAGTTCCTGCCACTGTTAATTTCCAACAATATAACTCGCATTTTCATGATTTCAATGAGCATAAAAGCTTCCTTGTTCTTCATGAAAATTCTATGATTTGGTGTTCTTAAGTATCTATTTTTAAATGAGAGGTTTATGTTAAGAATTTGCACATGTAAAGGCCATTTGGGTATCATATTATGTAGTAATGTGACTGTGCTATGAATTTCTTGTCACTGATTAACAGATTCACTGAATTTCAGTACTGTGACCTCTATTGCCAGGGGTTTTAGCTGATCAAATGAGTCCGTTTTCCGCCAAACCATCACTGTTTGAAATATTTATGAGTAATATTGAAATTCTACTTAATTTAAGAACTATACAATTAATTGTGGCAATATGTCACAGTAGACAGTTTTACAAAATCTCAGAACTGACACCTCTGTTGTCAAAGACTTTGAGAGAACAAAAGGAATATGTTTTCTCTCAAACTACCACCTTTTAAAAGATCTCTATGTGTGCTTAGAATCATATGTTAACTGTATTTCGAAATTCCCTTTGGTTTGGGAGACATTGAACAAATTTTAAAGACATGTCATTGCCTTCACTGCAAGATAGATTCAGATGAAATGTCTTCATTCTTTGAAATTTTGAGGACCCAAACAAAGTCCAATTGCTTTAAAGCCACCCCCATTTGAAAGATAGGTATGCCTTGTGAAAATTTGGTTTTGAAACCATCTTCAGATTCTAAACGAATCAAAAGTTATGACCTTATTTACGTCCAGATGTCACAGCTTGCAATTGCAGCTATAACACTCATTCTGAGATATCGACACCGTTATTCTATGAATCTGATACTATTATTATGTGATACAGACACCATTATTCTATGAATCTGATACTATTATTCTGTGCTATGGACACTATTATTTGTGAATCTGATATTGTTAAAGATGTGATGCTAATACTGGCATTGTATGAGACTGACACTGTCATCCCGTGATTTTGAAATTATCATTCTGTGATACTGATATTGCTATTTTATGATAGTAACATGGCTATTATGTGACACTGATACTGTTTGATTCTGCTATATGTGTGATATGTGCTATGAATGCTACGCAATGGGTCCTCCATTGATAGTGGACTTTTCGATTCTGTCATATGAATACTGATATCTGACTGCTACGCAATGGGTCCTCCATTGGTAGTGGATACTGTGATTCTATTATTTTTGGCACTAACCACTATGCAATGGGTCCTCATTGGTATTGAGTATTTTGACTCTATTATATGGAAAACTGATATACGTAATGTGACAATTATGCAATGGGTCCTCCATTGGTAGGGGGTATACTGTACCTCGACCCATTTGATTGGAGTGGAGTCGAGAGGTGACTGTAAGTAATAGGGAGGGTCGCGCCCCCCAATTGTCATAGGCACTATGCATTGGGTCCTCTAATGGTAGTGTAACGCCCTCCCGCCTGAAGGCATAAGGAGAGGGTCATATCTTGCAAGGCTGCAGCCTATCGAAAACTCCAAAGCATGCTGGGGATTGTGTGTGAGTGAGGGCATTACGAAGTGGGGCCCCCACTTGTCATTGTCCTCCCTCTTGAGTCAGGGTAGAAGTTCCAAGTTTAGGATTGGCTTAGCCTGACTGATGTGGCTTCTCTTCAGGAGTAAATAGATATGTTCTGTCTGTCTGACTTAAGAATTTTATATGAACACCTGACTGTAACTGTGATACTGTGATAACATGAATGTGATTGATATCTCAAGAACAAGTAATACTTTGTTAATTGAATGTTACATTCTCTATACTGCAAAATATATGTACACTAATGTATGTGCTTACTTTGTGGTGGTAGTATGATGTCTGATAAACCATAGACCATGTTATTATGTATATACATATAAGCAGGAATACAAGGGTAGTGATCTACTTACTAGGCTCATAGCTCATTCCATCTATTTTCATTTGTGTAAAGTGATAGTGCCTGATCGTGAGTGGCAAGTAGCAAACCGTTGATTGTAGGCATTTTGAGTTTAGACTGGTTCAGGATTTCTTTTTGCATCATAGGTGTCTGGTGGATTTTCCATGTGTTGTTCTGTTTGATGTAATGTTTTGAGATGAACGTTAGGCTTGTAAGCCTTAAATTATATTGTACATACTTCCGGAGTTGATTGAAAGATAAATGGTTTTAATTTATTCAGTTTTCAGTGCTTGAGGGAATATATTTATTTTCTTCTCGTGGTTTGCTCTAATTCCACACTTTTAACACGTGTTGATGCCACTCCCACCTAAGTGACGTGCGTGACCTCTGGTCGGGATCCCACTCTATCGCCCTTTGGTATGGGGCGGTAGGGGTCAGGGGGTAGGGTCATGATAGTTATGGTATCAAAGAAGCTAGGATAGGATTCTTGGCCTTGGGAGTTTAGAAGCATCTTTAGAATAGTTTTGGGTAGATTAGTAACTCAGTTTTTTTCTCAGAGGGTAAAGATGTCGAGGACAAGATCCAATAATGCAAGCTCCACTAATGAAAACACAGAGGCCCTCAGTGAGTTTGTCAGGACCTTGGGGGCCATGATACAGATGATGAAGGAGGCTATGCCAACCCCGTCTACCCCCGCCCATGACCAGAATGATATTAACTTGATAGAAAAGTTTAGGAGGTTGGCTCCTCCGACCTTTTTGGGGCTTGGGGGAGTAGAGAAAGTTGAGATGGAGAAGATATTTGATGTTTTGAACTGTATTGATGAGCAAAAAGTGAGGCTAGGCACTTTTGTACTTGAAGGAGACACTAAGCACTGGTGGGGCTTAGTGAAGCAGTCTTGGGAGGAGTCAAGGATAGAAGCAAGTTGGGGAAAATTTCATGACACCTTCAATGAAAAGTACTTTCCTGATTCTGTGTGGGAAAGAAAAGAAGTAGAATTCATCGAGCTACAGTAGAGGAATCTATCGGTGAAACAATATGCAGTCAAGTTTAACAAGCTATAAAGGTATGCGCCACATATTATCAATACTGAGGCGTGAAAGGCAAGTAAATTTGAAAGGGGTCTTAGGCCGAAAATAAGAGGAAGGGTGGTATCATCAAATCTGAAAGTTTTATCCCCTTTGGTGGACTTGGATATAAAAATTGAGAGGGACTGTTAAGAGTTTCGGGTTTGAGGAAACTGGAGGATGGGCCCAGCTCAGTTCAGAAGCTTGGGAATAAAGGTTCGACCACCCTTAAGGAGGAACTTTAAGGAAAGAGAAAATCGGAGGGGCAAGAAGATTTAGAGGACACTACCTGGTGATGTAAGAGAGAATCGGCATCCGACTTGCCCACATTATGAGAAAGACAATCATTCGACGGCTGAGTGCAAAAGGAAGACTGAGGCGCGCTTCAAGTGCGGCAAGCCGGGCCTCCAGATCAGAGATTGCCCAATAAGGGGATCGAAAAATCGACCAAAGACTCAAGGCCTGGTGTTTTCCCTTACCGAACAGGAGGCAAAGGCATCACCTTCAGTTATCTGAGGAACGCTTTTCGTTTGTGGTATTAAAGCAAGAGTCCTAGTTGATCCTGGATCTACACACTCTTTTATTGCACCTCACTTTGCATGCCACACTAATGTTAGACCTTCCTTACTTGACTAAACATTGGTAGTAAGCACACCTATGGGAGAATTTATAGAAATTAATTGTGACGACCCAAACTCAGTGTCGGTTGAGTTGTGGCCAGCGCCGGCTGAGTTGTGGGCCGCGTCGGCTTAGTCGTGGGCAGCGCCGATTGAGTTGTGAGCAGCGTCAGTTGAGTTGTGGTGGCTAGCGCCGATTGAGTTGTTGTGGCCAATGTCGGTTAAGTTGTGGCCAGTGCCGGTTGAGTTGTTGTGCTCAGAGCCGGTTGAGTTGAGACCAGCACCTGTTGAATTGTTGTGGGCAGCACTGGTTGAGTTAAGCTTAGCGCCCGCAATGTTAAGTGTCAACGCTGGCTGTGTTGAGAGCCCAGCGCCGGCTGAATGGTGGACAACACCGATTGTGTTTCTGATGTGCATGTGTTGATGATGCCACTTGTTGAGTGCATACTGTTTGAGTGCCACTTGTCCAGTTTTTGAAGTCTTTTGGCACCACGTGGGCAGCCACCCCACCCCATGAAGAAACTTTCATGAAGAAACTATTTTGAAAGTCTTTCTAGATTTAAAGTTCTACTTTGTTTTATGAGGTATGTCATTGTGGGCAGTATTGATAAAATTCAGAACTATCACTAGGTTTGGCAGGAGTCTTTGAACCACTAAACAGAATCCAAATGTTTTGAAATTTGCCTGGTTAGAAAGATATATGCCATGGAATAAAACTTTTATTTTGAAACCATCACAAGTTTCCTAACGGTTTGAAAGTTATAGTGATATGAAGCAGGGTACATCGTTAACCACTGTACACAACAGGGTGCTAGTTAACTCTCACCTAAACATTGAAGAGGCCAAACGAGGTCCAATTGTCCTCAAACCAATTCCATTTGAAGGATATGTGTGTTTAGTACAAATTGGTTTTGGGATCATCTTCAAACTCTAAACGGTCTAAAAGTTACGACCCTCATGGTGAGCGCATGTCATTACCTCTGGTGGCAGGAAATCGACCTGTAAGGCTTAACTGGAATAATGTCATTATTACTATGGTACTATCATTATGATATTACTTAAATGTGATATGCCACTATCATATGCAATATTGCTGCTATCATGATGAAAGATTGTGATCGTCATAATGTTATATCATGTTATTTATGTGATATGTGAATGGATAACTACTGTGTGAATGATGGTATCATGCTATTTATGTGTTATGTAAATGGATACCTACTATGTGAATGATGGTATCATGTTATTTATGTGATATGTTAATGGATACCTTCTGTGTGGATGATGGTATCAAGATGCTTATGTGATATGTTAATACGCACCTACTGTGTGAATGATGGTGCTAACAGCTACCTGTTGAGGAGGGTACCTACTGTGTGAATGATCGTGCCGGCAGCTGCGATCTGTCCCTGACTGCCCACGATAGGATGAGACTCAAGATGTGATTAGTTGGGAGGGTCGCACCCCCCAAATCTATACAGGCACTACACATGATGGTAGTGTAATGCTTTCTCACCAGAGCGCATACGGAGAGAGTTGTGTCTTGTAAGGCCTCTGCCTATCGAAACCCCAAAGCGCTCTGGGGATATGTGTGTGTTTATGAGGGCATTACGAAGTGGGACATCCACTTGTCATTGTCCTCCCTCTAGAGTGAGGGTAGAAGTCCCAAGTTCAGGATTAGCTTATTCTGACCGATGTGGCTTTTACTTCGAGAGAAGGGCCTTGCTAGTTTTGTAACTATGATTTGTTATTCTTACTGTTTTTCTTTAAGTAAGGTTGTTATGGCTTATGTATTGTTTATTAAACGGCTTTTATCGTATTATTGTTAGAGTGTTGAGAAGCATGCTGAGGGACTTCATTTAATACCTTGTGTATATATATGTATAAATGTGCGTTACATATTGTTATCAATTTGATGCTAGTTGGAATGCAATAGTGTAGATCTGCTTACTGGGCTTTTAACTCATTCCATCTTAATCTTATAACTGTAGAGTGAAGGGTGGTGGCATTTGTGCTAAAGGTGGCTGGCAGATTGAGGGCTTGAAGCCGAAATTAAGAAGTTGAGAAGTCGTGTTCCGAGTACTTTCATAGTATGTTTTGGTGGTTTCCCTTTTGTGTATTTTGGGCTAGTAGCACCTTGAAGAAATTGTAAAGACTTTGAATAATGAATGAATAAAATGGTCGTACCTTTTGGATTGATATTTGTTGATGAAATGGATTTATTCTAGTTTTCTTTCGTGGTTTGCTCTCGATTTTATGCTTTTATGCGTTGAGCTACTCCCACCTAAGTGACTTTCACGACCTCCGATCGCAATCCCGCACTCTATCGCCCTCGGGCAGGGGTCAGGGAGCGGGGTCGTGATAATTATGGTATCAGAGTAGCCAAGATAGGATTCTTGGCCTAGGGAGTCTTAGGAGTGTCTGTAGGATAGTTCTTTGATAGGTTAGTAACTGGGTGTTTATGTTTTTAGGTGGAGATGTCGAGGACTCATACCAACCACGCGAGTTCAAGTGATGAGAACACCGAGGGCTTAGGTGAACTCATGAAAGCTTTGGGGGTCGTGACGCAAGCAATCAGAGACATTGTACCGGCCTCGTCTACCCCCGCCTCTGATGTGAGTGATAGTAATCTAATAGAAAGGTTCAAGAGGATGGCACCTCCAAACTTTGTAAGACATGGGGGAGTAGAGAAGGCTGAGAGATGGAGAAGGTAGATATAAAAGACATTTAAGGTTCTAAATTGCACTGACAAGCAGAAAGTCCGGCTGGGTACCTTTATGCTCGAAGGAGAAGCCAAGCATTGGTGGAGCTCAGTAAAACAGTCGCAGGAAGGGTCAGGAGTGGTGACTACTTAGGAGAGTTTTCTAGAAGTCTTTTATGAGAAATACTTCCCCGACTCAGTAAAGGAAAGGAAAGAGGTGGAATTCATAGAGCAGCAACAGGGGAATATGTCTGTTGAGCAATATGCAGCGAAGTTTGCTGAACTCTCCAAATATGCACTGGATATTATCAGTTCTAAGGTACAAAAGGCTAGCAAATTTGAGAGGGGTCTTCAGCCCGATATAAGGAGAAGGATTATCGCAGCAAACCTCAAGACCTTTGCTCTGCTGGTGGACCTGGCTCTAAAGATGGAGAGAGATGATGATGAATTTCGAGTGAGCAGAGATGGAAGGTTGGGTGTCCAGTCTAGGGGCTTTAAGAAGAAGGAACGACCCCCTCCAAGGAGAGAGTGGAAGGGGAGAAACAATCAAGGTGGTATCAGGATTTTGGGGGCTATTCCAAGCGATGTGAGGGGCAACCGACATCTAGTCTGCCCTCACTGCGAGGCGACAGAATGTTTCAGAAAGACCAAGACCTTCTTACGGTGCTGCAAATTAGGCCATCTAATGAAAGACTATATCCCGTCAAGGGATCAGAGGACCGACCGAGGGCTCAAGAGCGAGTGTTTGCCCTGACCGAGCAAGAGGCTAAGGCGTCAACCTCTATGATTCAAGGTACGCTTTCTATATGTGGAATTGAGCCAAAAGTTTTAATTGATCCTAGATCATCCCATTCATTTGTTGCACCACACTTGGCAGGTCACTTGAATGTTAAGCCTGTACAGCTTGTTTGGACTCTGGTAGTATGTGCACCTATGGGAGAATCAATAGAAACTGATGTAATGTATAAACTATGTGGAATTGTGATTGAAGGGCATTTACTGCTTATAGATTTGATAATGTTAGGTATTCAAGACTTTGATAATATTTTGGGTATGGATTGGTTTTCTACCCACCATGCTACGATGAACTATTTTGATAAGATTATAACTTTTGGACGCCCGGGTCAACCTAAACTATATTTTAAGGGCATTAAGAATGTTGCTCCTTTGCATATCATCTCAGCCCTTCGGGCCTCTCGCTTGTTGGCCAAAAGGTGTATTGGATACTTGGCTTATGTCGTAGAAAATCAGGGTGTTCAGTCTAAGCTAGAAGAGATACCGATGGTGAGAGAATATCCAGAGGTCTTCCTTGAAGAGTTAACTTCTCTGCCCCCAGTTATGAAGATTGAATTTGAACTAGAGGTGGCCCCTGATACTACTCCTATTTCTACAGCCCCATTTAAGATGGCCCCAGTTGAGTTAAAAGAGTTGAAGGAGAAATTATAGGAATTATTAGATAAAGGCTTCATCCAACCTAGTGTGTCACCATGGGGCGCACCAGTTTTATTTGTGAAAAATAAAGATGCGTCTTTGAGGCTATGCATTGATTATAGACAGTTGAATCAGGTTACAATAAAGAATAAATACCCGTTGCCCAGAATTAATGATTTATTTGATCAACTGCAAGGGGGTCAAGTATTTTCTAAGAATGACCTCCGGTCTGGGTACCACCAATTGCGTATTAAGGAAGAGGATATCTCCAAGACTGCATTCAGAATTCGTTTAGTCATGCCTTTTGGGTGACAAACACACCGGCTATGTTTATGGATCTGATGAACAGAGTTTTTAGGCCCTATCTGGATGATTTTATGGTGGTCTTTTTAGCTAACATTTTGGTGTATTCCAGGAATCAGACAGATCATGAGCAACATTTAAGAGCGGTCCTCCAAACTCTAAGGATGGAGAAATTATATGCTAAGCTCAATAATAATGAGTTTTAGCTCTCAAGAGTGGCGTTCCTCGGGCACATTATTTCCAAAGAAGGGTTGAAGTTAATCTTTGTGAGATTGAGGCTATGCTTAAATGTTAGCTAATCTTTGTGAGATTGAGGCTATGCTTAAATGGGAAAGACCAATGCATGTATCTAAAGTTAGCAGTTTCTTGCGACTGGCGGGGTATTACAAGCATTTTTAGAGGGGTTCTCGAAGATAGCACTTCCCCTAACCTGCCTAACCCAAAAAGAAGTCAAGTTTGTGTGGTCTGATAACTGCGAGAGAAGCTTTCAGTAACTGAAAAAGAGATTAACTACAGCCCTGGTACTAACCTTGCCTAAGGGGAATGAAGATTTTGTGGTCTTTACTGATGCCTCACAAAAAGGACTAGGGTGTGTATTGATGCAAAGGGGAAAGGTTATAGCCTATGCCTCTAGGCAGTTAAAGCCTTAAAAGCAAAACTATCGCACTCATGATTTGGAGTTGGCAGCTATGGTTTTTGCCATACAAATATGGAGACATTATCTATATGGGACTCAATTTAAAGTGTTTATAGACCATAAGAGCCTCAAGTACTTGTTTTCTTAGAAAGAATTGAATGTGAGACAAAGAAGATGGATGGACTTGCTCAATGATTAAGATTGTACCATCAACTACCACCCTGGTAAGACCAATGTTGTGGCAGATGCCTTAAGTCGAAAGCTGGTGGTCTCAATGGCTTACATGATGGTCCGAGAGATGAAGCTACTAGAAGATGTAGTAGAATGGCACCCAACTCTGCTCCTTGATTCATGAAAATTTTCGAGGATCCTTGGTTTATGAAAATTTCCTTGGTTCCTTGGTACTGTCATTATGATATTACTTAAATGTGATATGGCACTATCAAATGTGATATTATCTAATGCGATATGCCACTATCTAATGTGATATGAGATATGCG